AGGCTCAGCGGCCATGGCTCATGGGCCCAGCCGCTCCGCGGCATGTGGGATCTTCCCGGACCGGGGCACGAACCCGTGTCCCCTGCATCGGCAGGCGGACTCTCAACCACTGCGCCACCAGGGAAGCCCAAAAAATTCAATTTTAATGTTGTTAAAATTGTCTCTTTTCCTTCCGGTCTTGCATTGTTTTGAGGATTGATTAAGAATTTTTTTCCTACCCCAACTTCATAAAACATCATCCTATATTTTCTTCTAAATGTTTAACACTTTGCTTCTTGCATTTAATTTCTAAAACCATCTTTATGTTTGATATGAGGAAGGAATCCAATTTTATCTTTTACTCTATAGGTGATCATCAGACTCTTCTTGGTAAGCATTAGGATTGATTTTTGTGAATGGCCCATTGAGGAAAAATGGGCTTACATTGGGTAACCCTCAGCAATTTGTTACAAGCAGCAAGATTTGGAGCAAAAGCTTTTTAAAGATTACTTTAAAACTACTCAAGTTAAGGGCTTCCCTGGTGGTGCAGTGGTTGAGAGTCCGCCTGCTGATGCAGGAGACACAGGTTCGTGCCCCGGTCCGGGAGGATCCCACATGCCGTGGAGCGGCTGGGCCTGTGAGCCATGGCCGCTGGGAGAGGCCGCAACAGTGAGAGGCCCGTGTACTGCAAAAACAAACAAACAAACAAACAAAAAAACTACTCAAGTTTTGCTCTACTATTGAGCCTTTGTCTGAACTTCTTTCCTTAAGACAAAGAGATAAGTAGTCTTTCACTCTGCAACACAACACTGAATTTTTTCTACTTTAGCAATTATTTCTTTTTCCTGGGAATATCTGTGTCCCCATCTATTTCCTCCACTAACCTGTGGGGCCTTGAGGTTTGGTCCAGTGCCTTCTGATCTTTGCATCCCTGGTGCCTGATACGTAATAGACACCAAACGTTTGGCAGATTAATGAATTAATGAGCATTTTTGGATCACTCAGAGGAGAGTTTGGACGAGCCCCAGCCAGCTTGCTTAATGCTGGATGGAATCCTGTTTACTCTTCTCATTCCTATGTCTAAAAATTGGGGAAGAGAAAGATATTCTAAGCTATGCAATAATTAGTTCTAGAAGTGTCTTGTCCTAGGCTTCTGTGGATTAATTTGGGAAGCAGCACAATGCCCCATTTACTTTCGTTTTACTTTTAAAGAGAGGCAGAGAAACATCATGCATACAAAAAGCTGCATTAGGCTGACCCCAGCTCTAAGTGGTTAAAGAGTTACAATCCAATCCCGTGCACATGATTCTGATCTTTTTTCATTTGTCTTATCTCCATAATTATTTGTTTCATACCTCAGTTTTTTTACTTGCCTTAACACATTTGAACTCTGTAAAATTCTCCTTTGCACATGAATTAGTGTGAAATTTATTACCATATTCTTTCCACTTATTAAAAGGGATGTACTTTACAAATATGACTGTAGTGCAAATTTATTATTTACATCCCGAGCCCTAGCCTTCATAACTACTTAATATGGATAAGGTGTTTCGTTTTCCGATGGAGTCCAGCTGCATCACTGGCATCAAACTTGTAATTGCCTCTTTGGGATTTAAAACCATTATAGTTGTGCTTTTATGTTCTCTTTTGTTTTGCTTGAATCACTTTTTCAGGTCTATGAAGTACAGCTGGCACAATAAAAGTTTGATCAATGCATAACCAATGCAGTGTATATTTCTTCCAAAAATATAAAACCCAGGTGAAAATGTTAATCTATGAAAATTATCTCTGTCAGCTACTTATTCTTGGAATTTAAATGGGTTTCAATCTTGAGGTAAGATCTGAGCTTGGATTTCTGTGTTAAAGTTTCTGAGTTTGCCAATGTTGTACACTGATGTGTATGTTAGGGGCTGCAAGATATAGAACTTCTATTATTGAAAAACAGATCATTTTATTGTCTCTAAAAATACTCTATATTTATTGATTGATTTTAACATCTTTATTGGAATATAATTGCTTTACAATGGTGTGTTAGTTTCTGCTGTATAACAAAGTGAATCAGCTATACATAAACATATATCCCCATATCCCCTCCCTCTTGCATCTCCCTCCCACCCTCCCTATCCCACCCCTCTAGGTGGTCGCAAAGCACCGAGCTGATCTCCCTGTGCTATGCGGCTGCTTCCCACTAGCTATCTATTTTACATTTGGTAGTGTATATATGTCCATGCCACTCTCTCACTTCGTCCCAGCTTACACTTCCCCCTCCCCATGTCCTCAAATCCATTCACTATGTCTGCATCTTTATTCCTGTCCTGCCCCTAGGTTCTTCAGAACCTTTTTTTTTTTAGATTCCATATATATGTGTTAGCATACAGTATTTGTTTTTCTCTTTTTGACTTACTTCACTCTGTATGACAGTCTCTAGGTCCATCCACCTCACTACAAATAACTCAATTTCGTTTCTTTTTATGGCTGAGTAATATTCCATTGTATATATGTGCCACATCTTCTTTATCCATTCATCTGTCGATGGGTACTTAGGTTGCTTCCATGTCCTGGCTACTGTAGATAGAGCTGCAGTGAACATTGTGGTACATGACTCTTTTTGAATTACGGTTTTCTCAGGGTATATACCCAGTAGTGGCATTGCTGGGTCGTATGGTAGTTCTATTTTTAGTTTTTTAAGGAACCTCCATACTGTTCTCCATAGTGGCTGTATAAATTTACATTCCCACCAACAGTGCAAGAGGCTTCCCTTTTCTCCACACCCTCTCCAGTATTTATTGTTTGTAGATTTTTTTGATGATGGCCATTCTGACTGGTGTGAGGTGATATGTCATTCTAGTTTTGATTTGCATTTCTCTAATTATTAGTGATGTTGAGCATCCTTTCACATGTTTGTTGGCAATCTGCAAAATTTAACCAGTCTATATTTAGACTGGTTAAATAATGTACGCTTGGATTGTCTTAAATATTCTCTTGATTAGAAAATGGGGAAAATAAAATGAAATAGTTTGTTTTTAATTTTTTTAGGGGGACAAATTATCACAAACCCACATTTTTAAAAATATAAACATTATGGTTATAAAGAAATATATTTCAAAACCCTGGCAATTTAAAACTGACTACTAGCATTTTTTTTCTTTTTTGGAGACAAAGTTCTGAGAATGACTAGTTTCACTTGAAGGTGATATTATGATTTCAAAACGGTGTGATTGTCTCTAATTTCTAAGTGCAAGCAGGGTTAATCATGGACAGATGTTCACCATCAACTCTAAATTTCTTTGTTCTTGTCCATTAAAATTAGCTATATTTTGAAGGAAACACAAAGCTGTGTCCATGGCTCCTCCTTGAAAAAAGAACTCTTTATACCTTATATGGAAAATATGGCAGTGATAACCACTGCCTCAAAAGCTCTGGATCCACCATTTCTACCACTTGGGATCAACCTGGACTGTAACACAGACGTGTCTGTCTTATTTGTCCCCAGACTTTCCTGCCTATGCATTTTCTCCCCCTGCAGGGCATGAGTGTTTACCTGGATTCTTTGCTGACCCTTGTAAACAATTGATATTAGTCAACTCCTCAGAAGTATAAATTAAAATCACCCTTCTATCTTTTCCCTGAAATCTTAAGTCTAGAATTTGTTATTGTGGAATGAAGTGCTTTATCCCTAGATAAGCACATTTAAGCAGGAGCCCCGGAGAGCAGGGAGAGTGAGGGCATTCCAGTTTCCACAACGTTTAGGCAGCCATGAGGTCTGCCTGGTGGCCGGACTGGGACTAGGGGAAGGACAATGGGGCACTAGACTTGGGTGTCAAATTTAAGGTAGCACACACACACACACACACAGAAACCTCTCAGTAATCAGTAATCAAGGTAAATATTTTAGTACAAAATTTAAGAAATAAATTTTTGGTATTTTGTTCATCCTGGATGATGATGTTTCACCTTCTAAAATTGAGCCTGAGGTGAATGATTCATCCTAGAACTGGTCTTTCTTGGTCATTCTGTTCCAAACATCATCTACAGAAACTATTTCTGCCTAGTATCTGCCTGATACCTTGGGCATGAGGGATAGTCTGAACTAAGCTCTCCCCATGGAAGGTAGATAATCAGCTCATTACATGGACTCTGAGAAGAGTGTTCATTGTCACAGCATGCCTGGCACAAAAAATAATAAATGTTCAATAAATATTTTGAAATAGAATTGAATGAGTGAGTCAGTACATATTTGGTATTATTAGTGCACCAATGAAGAGGAGTCTATCTAAATGTGCTCATTAAATGAAGGCTATTTCCCCGTGTGTCGGTTACCCCTCTGGAAAGCAGCTTAAGTAACAATAAACCTTAATACAAAATGCTCTGTTTTAAGTCACCACAATATACATTAGACATGCAGCTGGTTGCATAAATATAATACATTTTTTTTTAAAAAAAGGTCTTCAATTTCTTATACGAGGCAAATATAATAAGCAAGTTATTTTAGTAACCATATTCCTATTTAATCTTGGGATGAACTAGCATAATTTTACTTTTTTGGTGAGAAAAGGCACTTTTTTGATGGCAAATTAAATTGTAGGCCTATTGATTTTTAAACCTACGGAATTACAGGAACTTAGCTTTGGGATACCTTATTCAACGAAAATCAGGTCCATTTTCCTCTGTGCCTTGAAAAATATGTCAAATCTTATTGTATTGAATATTAAGGAGGTAATAATGTCTGTGTCAGTTAATTAGTTCACTAGAGCACAGACATATTTGTTATAGATAGCCATTCAAGTCCCATTCTCTATAATAAAGAGTATCAGATCATTTAAAATAGTGAAAAACCCAAGAATCACTTACATAGCATCTGCTTAAACTTCCAAGGTTTTACATATTTAAGTATGCAGAGGTCTGGTGCTCTTAGAATTCAGTTTAAATAAAATAGCTAAAACACATGGTGAAGACCCAGTCAGGAAGAGTTGGGAATTATATCACTTCCTTTCTTACCTGTGCCTAGAACTTTCACCCACCTCTCTGTGCCATGCTGGAGTTTGACCAAATAACCCTTTAGAAAGAGGCAGTCTTCTTTGATTTTATTTGTGGTTCAGTCGAGAACATTCAAAATCATTGAGCAGAGATGAATATGAAGGGAGGACCAGGCGGAGGTGCTGAGGCAGGTAGAGGCAGCGGGAGCATTTCCAGCTGAGACACAGACCTGGGGTGCAGCGTCACAGCCTTTGGAGTCTGGTCAGAATCACAAAAATGTGTGGGGACTGAAGTGGGCTGAAAAGGCGGGGGAAGCACGATCATGTAAGGTCTAAGTTTTCATCTTGTTCTGAAAAATATGGAGCTACCGAAAGATTTTAAACAGAGGGGTGACATATACGACTAGATTTGCATTTTGTAAAGATCCTTTTAGGGGCAGGAGGCGTTTGGATTGGAGCAGGGACAGGACTGGAAGCCAGCGGAGAGGCAGACACTGGTACAGTGAAGGTTATGATAATTTGACAGCTGAGGGTGGTTTGAACTAAGATAGAGGCTCTGAGGACGGAAAAGAGAACACAGAGCACATTTTGGCTTAGTCTGTAAATACTTTCACTAAAAATACCTTTTGCTGTTTGCAAGCTCCAAAGGAAGTAAGCTAAACAAGAGATGGCAAATGATCAGATTTTGGTAAACTCTCTGGAAAATTTCACTAAGAATTTGAAGCAGTTCACCTCAGATAAATTGGGGTATAGATAATCCTAAGTAGAAACATAAATGTGTGCAGTCTAGGTATAGTCAGGCCCTAATGAATAAGCACATTGGTCATTATTCACTACAGTGAGGCTACGTCTGTGCTCTGGCCACCAACTTAAAACTTTGCTCTGCTGGTGGATCCACAACATATTCCACTGGATAAAAAAAATTTTTTTACTCTTTTTTGACTATTTCAAGTTACTATTTATTTAACACAGATTTATGTATTTAGGTTTGGAAAAGTGTTACTTTGTGGAATGTAGTAATAATTACATTAAAAAGCTTTTACACCCATGCACACGAATATAGTGCCAGGCACATTCTGTGCGTGTTTTACATGATGGTTGAAGGTTTTCAGCCTATTGGTGTTTCAATTGATTATCTCAAAAATATCCAGGATCCTGATGATCTTGCCATGGGGTCAGCAAAGAGAAACCCCATGGCTACATTCATTCATTTAACAAGAGCCCATTGAGAGTCTTAGCAGCTAGAGGCTCTAGCTTAGCTGCTAGAGCTGAATGGCTCCCAAAGGATTCATCGGTGGGTGGTCCCTTTCTTTCTCACACTCCCTCCTCCCCCCAAACACAGTGGTCCCCAGGGGAGGTAGCTCTTCTTTGTTAGTGGACATACACTCTCCCTGTGCCAACAGGCAGCCGAGCTCTGTTTTCAAAACTCTCCCTTGCATCAGGCACAATCATCATAATGATAATATATATAACATATATCATAATAATGATATACGTGTATTATACGTAATATACATATATATCATTGAGCACCATAGATATTAGGTCCTTACATATGTATCAAATGATTGGCAGGCCATATATATGTTTATATCATTGAAACCATAGCCCAGGTACCTGTATCCCATCCTTTGGTTCATGTTTGATCAGTGACAGCTCACCTGATTTTGGACTCACTCACCTTAAGGGGTGCCACGTGTCTCCATCTTCTGTCCCAGAGCCTTCTCCGCTCTGTGAGACAGTGCGTCACTCTCAGAGGCAACCCTCAACCTACATGGGATGGGAGCCAGTGGGTCAAGGAGGCAGCCTCTCCAGATACTTCTGGACACTTCTGGGAGTGCACTCTGTACCCTTCTGAGGAGGGCTCACTGGAATCAGGACCCTGTAGTCCTCAGCAGCCCCTCCATAACATACCCTTGGATTGGCTTTTCCTTGTTCCTGTCACACACACCCCCGACCCTCACTCCTGCGTCCTGTGATCACACTCCCCAGATAAACAGCTGTACCCAAGTCCTTATCTTGGACTTTGTTTTTGGAGTAATTCCAACTAAAACAAAAGCAATGTCTGGCACACAGTAGGTCCTTAACAAATGTAATCTCTTCACCCCTTCTTCCCATGGTAAAAATGAGAACTGAGAGGCTCAGGGGCACTGAGTAACTTGCTGGAGACGACACAGCCTGAAACCAGCAGAGAATTCAAGTCAAAGCTTCTTCCTTGTGGTTTCTGTCTTAGAAGCTGGCTTTTGCTCTGTCCAGAGCAAACCAATGAGGACCCCTAGTGGCATGAACAGGATGGACATACAGCAACCAAAGGCCATGCCTTTAAACAGCCTGACACCATTCAGAAAAGAGGTGTGAAGTCGGAATCCGCACCGGGATTCCTGGGAGAAGTTCAGCCTAACAGGTTACACACAGGCTTCAAACCATCAAGGGTGGTTCCACAACTATGGGAGCTGCCCCAAAGATGACATGTCTCTTTCCTGTATAGGAAAAATGAGCATTGTATTCCCAGGCTTCCAAAGAAGGTTTCTCTCTCTGGATCTTAAACCTCCTTTTACTGGGTTGGATAATTTCTAACCTTTCCTGTACTTGCTAATTACTTTATTCATCTATTTCTGAAGTAAGGGAAACTCCTATCCCCCAGATGGAGCATCAGTGAGAGAGGGAGAGAGCAGGGGACAGGGTCTACATCAAAACTGGGGCTTTAGTTGGGCTTTAGTGGAGGATGCACCCCTCCTCGTGTTGGAGCGTTTTCTCACCAGGCTGGGCACAGATGCCCACCAGCCTCCTACACTGCAGCAAATCTGAGGAGCAGAAGTCTTATTCCTGCTCCTTTCTGAAGCCCATGCAGCCTACAAGCATTCATTCCAGAGATGTCTGGTGGGTGTCTGTCTTTTTTTTTTTTAACATCTTTATTGGAGTATAATTGCTTTACAACGGTGTATTAGTTTCTGCTTTATAACAAAGTGAATCAGTTATACATATACATATGTTCCCATATCTCTTCCCTCTTGAGTCTCCCTCCCACCCTCCCTATCCCACCCCTCTAGGTGGTCACAAACCACCAAGCTGATCTCCCTGTGCTATGCGGCTGCTTCCCATAGCTATCTATTTTATGTCTGTCTTTGACATGTTCATGCACTTCAGCTCCCATGAAGCCAACCAGACTGTTCCACATTCTATTCTAACAAGGTTTCTTTACTGGGCATGCCCTGTGCCAACTGTGTCACCCTCTACTCTGGGAAGCTTGGGTATATGGAGCCACTGTTCTGGGTGGACTCAGTCAAGAGCTATGGGAGGTTGCTCAGTGGTAAGGAAGCAGATAGAGCAGATGGAGACCCAGTGGCAGAGCACAAACCCGAGAATAGACATAATGGGTGCCAAACCAGCCTGGGACACGAGGGAGAGTAAGAAGGAGGCGGAATTTGGCTTTACTGGTCTTTTTAGCCCAGTTGGTGAAGCCACCCCCTCTTCTTTACCTGCTCCTTTCGTAGGGTCCAGCGCAAGTATCAGGAGTCCAGGATCCCCCTAAATGCAGGGCAATCTCCCCAAGTCTTCCTCCCCAGGGACTGCCTGCTTGTAAGCAAGACTGATTACAGACAGATAACATGGGGGAAGTGTAAAACAAAATAAGCTAAGTGCAAAGGGCAGATATGAAACAGATTTTTTTCCAGGGCTCCAAATGTGGTAGATATTATAAGCAGAACAGATTTCATATGGAAGACATTGACAAGGAATAAACATAGCACCCAAAGCTAGCGTTTTCAAGGATTTGCTTCTTTGAATGTAAGCGTTTAAAGAAAAAAAAATCACATACTTATCAAACAATAGGCAGCAAAACCTCTCCCCCCAAATGGCAAAGGCAGATCAAACCTAGGTATGGGTTACCTGTGTTTGCAAGACCTGCTTCAAAAATCCCATTTCAATTTGCTATGAAAGCATGCGCTGCCCTAGCTTTCTAATCTATGTTGAACGCTCAAAGGTTAAAGAGACTTGGCTGAATTTGTCTTAAGATATACCCTTTGTTCTGATTCAATCATTTATTTGAATTTAATATTTTAAAGGACACTTCAAACAGACTTCACAAAGCCCCATTACCATCAGGACCATATTTATTATTTAATATTTAACTGGGGAGATTTGTCAAAACCCTTAAGAATTAATGGTTACAAACTTGTGGAGTTAAAAGGTTTGTGGAGGAAACCATTTTCAAACAACAGGGGGACAATCCCCTTGTAGGCTGAGCCCCCGCAGACCGGGCCACCACCATAACGTGAATAAAATTTGTGATCTAGTGACATGTTGAACCCATCTCTCCAGAAAAGGCAGGAAGTGTAATTGCCTTTAAATAAATATTCTAATGTGCTTAACTTCTGAATTGTAAAGCTTGGCTTGTGCCTTAAGAAAGGAGGTGAGAGTGAGAGCAAAGCAACTTGAAAGGAAATTGTAAACAAACAGTTATTTCAGGTCTTCTACAAAGACACAGGAGAGAGTCCCAGAAGTTGGGATCAATCCAAACACATTAAAATGTACCTTTGCCTAAAAGATCTTCAGACTTGGGGGAAAATGTTTTTTGATCTTCAGGATCCATAGCTTTATGATGCCAAATATCAAGAAGAAAATTCGAAGCCGGAATATCTATATATAGGTGAGTGGGTCATATTTTAGAGATGACAGATCATAGTGATCATTGAATTGTTCATTCAGATATTCCTGTGTCCTATGGACCAACAAGGCGGTCAGGTGGAATTTGTCATAGCTTTCGATGTCTTTACAGGGGTTCAATAATCTTGATTAACTGCCCCAACTATGCAAACTTCCTAAAAATAAAAATAGGTGAGGCTCTGTCAGCTACAGGCCAAGAATGTCACAGAATACATGACAGACATAATGCTGACCAGGTCCAGGTTGAGGAATGGAATGCCCAAGCTGCAGTTTCAGGCTGTAAAAGGATGCACTTAAGAAGGTTAGTCATCAGCAGAGCCTCACAAACACCCCCAGACTGACAAGAGTAGGGCTGTGGTAAAGGGTGGCCCATGGGAGCAAATCTCAATTTTATGAATAATGCCACAAAGTAGTGCAGTTTACAGGCCACATGCCTCTGTCTTAGCTTATACTTGGCCAGTTGAAGGGCTAAGCCAATCCGGAGTAGCTGTAAACGACACCGATAGAAACCATGATTGCCTAGGGGGTTGTCTCCCACCTCCAATATGGAGTAGCCAGAATCTCTAGGCAAGAGTGAGTAAAACCGTGGCCTCAAAACAGTGAAAAGACAGCCCCTGCCAGTGGCTTCAGAAAGTGTGAATGGGACTGACAGTGGGTGTCATTCTGCAGCCTGGACCCCACACGGTAGGCCAGGTACTAAGTGACACACAGAAAAAAGCCATGGGCTCCAGAATGCAGAATTGCTTCTGGCTGTATTTCCTACTCTGTCTTCTCAAGCATTTGGAACCTTTATCTGCCAAAATAAAACTGCAGAACATATAAGCTGTTTTTATTTCTTTTTGTCTAGAACTAAAATACACGTGAACAGGGATCTATAAAATTGCCAACGAAGCCATCATAATACTTAAAATAAACAAACATCTATATCTGCTCCTACTCCCAAAGGTGAAGATTCACCAGACATATGAAAATATTCACTTGACCAAAAGAAGCAACAGAACCAAATTCCTAAAATGATATAGGTTTACGACAAGAAATGTTAAAAACTGTGTATTTGAAGCTGTGTATTAAGTATATATGACAACACATACTGTTGTAAATTCAGTATCTTTCAGAGTTGCATCTCTGCAAAGAAAAAAAAAAATCTGCTTTCAGAAGAGAATGCTGTAGACAAAAAACAGGTTTTTGAAATGTAAAAGTACTAGTAAAGTGGTGAATAGCAGAAAATGGAATCTGTGAATGGGAGCACTAGAGCTTCACCCAGAGAGTTCAGTGTAAGACGATAAATACAGAGCAAGCAACAAGTGGAAAGATAAGTGACACAGATGATCAATCCGCAGGATGTAGTATGAGTATGATGAGAGAATAAAGAAAACAGAAATATGCAGGAGACATAATTATTTACGATTGAAATAACAACAGAAAGATTTCTGTGATGAAAAAAATGCTAAATGAACCTAGAGTTCATGGGTCCAGTACAAAAGGTAATGAAGAAAGGCACACACACATACACACACACACAAACTCTAGTGATGGTTTTCTATTTGAAAGACAAAGAAAATATATATATATATTTAGGCATGAGTAATTTTTTTTAAAAAAGGTAATCAGATTAGAACTCAAAGCCAGAAAACAATTGGGGTGAATATGTAAAGAAATTTTAAGAATAACAAAAACAGATTGCATGCCGTTTATGATTGAAGACAAGAGAAACATTTTTTTCCTGATAAGCAAGGGCTATATATATTTATCACCCATATGCTTTTTCTGAAAAATGT